GCGGTTGGACTTGATGATCTTAGAGGTCATTTCCAACCTTAATGATTCTATGATTCTAAGAATTATTAGTTTAAAATCTCCACATCCTTAGCTTCCTCAAAAGAGTATTCAAATACCTTCCAGAATGCAATTATTAAAGTGCATCTTCAGGACTTATATAATAATTTCAAAAAAAGATACCTCACTCAAAGGTTTTTGTAAGACGACATTGTTCTTCAAAAGAAAATAAAAAAGCTTTAAAAAATAAAACAGCATTACTCACATCTGGAAGGTTTTTAAGTTTGTTTCTGGACAAACACAGCATCTTCAGACTTTTCATGTATCTAATCTCTTCAGATACCATGACAAAATATTTGCAGGACTGATGAAGTTCAGGGAGCCTTTGCAGAATGTAGCTCCCTAGGAATATTTATCTTCTTACTATTTAAGCTTACGCACTCAAATTTTTCTAATTTGTAAAGAGGATAAAGCTTTTCAATTGACACCTTGTGTATTAAATTAATCTGGAACATAGAGACGTCAGTTTATTTTTAATTTTACCAAACATTTTTTTGTGTGTGAACAATTCTTTTGATGATATACCTGTTTATAACACACAGAGGCAATTGCTAAGGATTTTAGTTGTATTCAAAAGTACATATGTGATATGCCTCTAGTGATTAATCCTAACCTATCTGCTGCTTTTATTAGTCTCTCAAAACAAAGGAATTGGTGGGTTAGTGTTCTTACTGGAGCCAAGGAAAGCACAGAAAATGCCTTCTGTATTTCAGATTCTATTTTTAAGTCTGCTCAGCTACTTACATAGATTAAGTAATCAACATGGGCTGCTTGTCATTCATAAATACATCCAGGAGACCAGTTGGGAGATAGAGGAGGGCAGGTTGCATCTTGAGGACTAAAAATAAGAAGTTGTACTTGCAACAGTTCCATGGCCTATGAAAGATGGTGGCCCAAAGTGTTGTCTTGTCCACCCAGATGATGCATATGGGACATTCTGGCGTCCACTCTCACCACAGCCTTTGGGGTATTCCTGGGGCATTCAGCATTCACTCATTTGACATGAAGGCTGTGGCACCCATGAAGATGCCTCTTACCCAGCACACCTATGCAGTATGTCTGATCAGGACTTCCCAGAACATACACCACGGCTTGTCTGCACTGCGACACATACCATCCACACATATCATCTACAAAAGAGATGCTGCCCGTCTCCACTTACTCAACTCACACATCAGTGAATTCATAAGAGGGGATGTGCTCTGCATAGAACCAAAATTTCAGCCTTGTTTTTTCACTGGGCCCTGTCACAGCTCCTGTTTAACTGCCTGTTAAAAAGAGGAGACGGAAAGGAGAGAGCATAGGCAGGAGGCAAAAAGTGCCTCTACTGACAATTTTGCCTCAAGGCAAGTGGTTGTGAAACAAATTCCCCTCTTCACAGTGTTTTAGCTTCGGTGTAATATTTTAATATATGTAAACACAACAGGTTATGAGAATTGTACAAATGCGCAAAAGGAACTTCACTGCTTCATTGCATTTTATATTATTTCTTTCTTTTAAAAAATCCTTAAAGTCATGGAATATTGTCCTGGTTTCAGCTGGGATAGAGTTAAATTTCTTCCTAGTGCTGTGTTTTGGATTTAGTATGAGAAGAATGTTGATAACACACTGATGTTTTCAGTTGTTGCTAAGTACCTTGTCAAGGACAGCTTCCATGCTACCAAGCTAGGCTGGGAGGGAGCACAGCCAGGACAGCTATCCCAGCTGGCGAACGGGGTATTCCATACCATGTGATGTCATGCTCAGTATATGAATGGTAGGCGTGATCCAGGAAGTAGCGATCGCTACTTGGTTATCGGTCAGTGCGGGTGGTGAGCAATTGCATTGTGCATCACTCATTTTGTATATTCTATCATTATTATTATTATTTACCCTTTTCTGTTCTATTAAACTGTCTTTATCTCAACCCACGAGTTTTTCTCACTCTTACCCTTCTGATT